TTTTCCTAATAAAAAACAACCCCTAATTTGTCACAGCTTCATCTCCTCTTGCTGGGTTCATTTCCCAGATAATCCAGCCTTTGCACTTTTGCTTTTACACATGGTAAGATAGCAAGAGTACCTGTAACATTTGTTTTTCATAAGGTGTACCTCAGTTACCTGATGGACTTGCCATTTCCACACAGGTTGCACGTCCCCTGGACTCTGGACTTGCCCTGATTTCTGAGCATTAGGATGTGGTGGTCCTCATCTCTGCCATGGAGAGCTCAGGGGTACAGTGGGGGCAAGCACAGCAGCTCAGCTGGGAAGCCAGGACATGCAAAGATTATGCCAGAAAAACAGGAGATTGATCTTTAAGTCCTACAAAACTAATAGCTTGTAATACACAGAACAGTTCTATGATGTCTTTCACAGATTACATTTTTAAAAATATATCTCCTTAAATGTTTATTTGCTTAAGATCATGAGTGCAACATACAGAGCTGCCAGTGCTTAGCCCTGGTCTAATTTCTGTAGTTATGGAGGCTTTGAGACATCAAGTGTTTCACCATTCTCTGGAATACCAGCTTTTGTGGCTTTTTAGCATTCAGAGTAGTACATAAGCAAAATGCGGAGATAAATGCAAGAGAAAAATAACTATTTTGTCAGTGTAGGTACTGCAGTTTTCCTAAGCAGAAGACATGATCCCACCTCCAAGAAAAATGAGATCTATTTTTGATGGAAAACAGTATTTTCCCTAATCAGTCCATTTTGAGGCATGTTTAATATTCCAGGCATTTCACAGAACAGAAGGTGTATGAAATGCTAACATAACATGTGTAGAACATGTCTGTGGTGATGCAGAACACCTTTGGGGCACAGCCAGCCCCAGCTCCATGAATCTGCTTCCTGTCAGACCTCCCTACACCCAGTCAAGGAGTTAGAGCAGCTGACATTAAGCACATCCCATTTTCTGATAGCCATTGTAAAACTTTTCTGGAAGATCTTTTCTGTGGAGGAATTTCCTTGATTTTAGCATGGTTCCACACAAGAGTGAAGAAGTTCTTATGCAGGTCTGGCTGGTAGTCAGGCTACAGTATGGGAGATGGACTTATTTAACCTGATGCATTTAAATGCTTTTTCATTCTATTGCCTTTTTCCCCCCTCCCTGTACATGAAATGTTCAGACTTCAGAAACACAGAAAAATTACTGCAGAGCTCAGAGACATTTAGCCTGAGAGTTCTGACTCATTTCACAGCTGCTCCCTTTTCCCAAATACTTGCAAACAGTTTGATAATGACAATGGCTTCACTGAATACGTAAAACTATTTATTATAAAGAGCCATGTTGCACTGCCTGTGATGTTCTATGTAATAAAGGAAGGGTGAACAAAATTTATAAAATGAAAATAGTCATTGGCCCCTAAATACTTTTTGATGTGTAAGCTTGCTACACATCCAGTAGTGTCATTTGAACTCCTGTGTCTCATAATTTGTGCTATATTGGATAATTAGGGCCTCCTTCTAAGCAACTGAGACCAAGTGAGGATGTACTGTTGATCTCAGCAGTATGTGAATTGCTCCCCTTCTTGAAAGAAGTCTCCCTGATGAATCTGAGGAAAATGCTTCCCTACAAAACTGTGCCTATGGTTTGTACAAAGCAGGACAGCACACCTGACTGCTCCAGCACTGAGGAATGCCATGGATGAGCAAATGTCATGGCCAAAGTTCACCCCCCCTTTGTGCTGTATCACAATGGACAGAGCAATAAATTTGCTCCCCTAGTTACAGCCTGGCCTCAGTAATGCTCAGGTGAAGATGTGAGCAAACTGCTGGACACAGCTAATGCTCTGCAGCCGAGACAGACACTTGTGCAGAGGAGGAGCCCTCCTGGATTGAGCCTTAGAAAATCCTGTGCATCTCCTCTGAATGGAGGAGGCTGTGGAGATCTGGTCCTCTGAGTTTTTCCCATTGTGCCTGCCTGAAGTTCTGTCAGAATCTGTCCTGTATTATTAAATTACAGGAAAGTTTCACAACTGGGGAAAGAGCTGTAATTTGCCATTTTAGAAGCAACTATATTTAAGTAATGAGTGAGATTGCAGTGCATGTTGTATTTCACAGGAGTCACAACATTTGTGTTTGTAGAGTGTTTTTTTTCTTGAAGTTTGCATGCTATATGAAGGCAGTGTATTTTTGTTGTATTTAGTTAAAAATATATTTTAAAATACACTGTGTGGAGTTTATCATACATCCAAGGAAAATCCTTCCCTCCTGTAAGTAATTTCTACCTGAAATCTCTAGGAAAGTTACCTGCCACAATATTGCTTTGCCCCAGAAGGGTGTGGCAGTTCTCTTGCCTGACCCAAGCCCTGCTGAATTTGGTCAGGAGGGTTCCCTTGGCTGCAGGGTCCACCTTGGCATATCCTCAGCCATTTCCCCCACAATGCTCTTTCCAAAAATGTTGGTGACATTTCTAATAGTGAATAAATATCCTGTAGGAGCAGAGTGGGGACTGTGCATCACTTGGGAAGCCAGAAGACAATCACTTCCTGCAGAGAGTTTGGAAACTCTGGCCTGCATCCAGACCCCAGACCTTGCTGGGGAATGTCCCTGCCTCAGAAGGCCTCCAAGCCCTCTTCTTCCCTGGTAATCACAGTGCACTCCAAGAGCACAGCCGGGACAATTCCTTCTTCCTGGGAGCCAGGGAGGCTTTGCCTTTGTAAATCCTCACAAGGTCTTGGGGAAGGTACCTTGAAGTTGCAAAATGCTTGTTCTATGCTGTCCCAGTCTGTTCATTAGTAAGGCTTTTAGTTATATAGCAACCCTGCTTTAAAACTGTCTGCTTTCCTGTAACATCACTGAAATAGCAGACTTGGCCCCCTGCCTTTTGAAAAGTGACTGCTGAGGTACTTATTAACATCAGTTCCAAGACATTTTTCAGTGAGAGTTGGAATATGGAAATGTCATATTTTTCCTAGTATTAAACAGTTGTTAAACTAGAAACATAACTCTTGCCAGATAGCAATTTCTTGTGCCTATCGTCTTCATAGAAGGAGAATGAACATGCATTTTTCTTTCATTAAATATTTTAAAGTTCATCCTTGTTTGGTGATCTAGTCAATTAAAGTAAGTTTATGGACAGCTTGTGAGAGCAGAAGACTAATTAATTTTAGGTGTTGGATAAAGCACATTCTTTTCCATTTTTGTCTGCTAATGAGTATTACTAATACCCATAATAACAGATCTTATAGAAAATAGGGTTACACAGAGTTTATGGTACTTTACAAGTAATTATCTAAATATCGTTATGAATTTAAAAACTACATTATGAATTTAAAAACTACATTTGTGGGAAAATGTACATTAAGGCAACATTATATCACATTTTATCATATTATACTATTATGTACGTTATACCACCATATTACCTAGAGAAAAGAATCTCTAATATCAATATCATAGAAAATAAGAGCATCCTTTAGAAGAAGTTCACCATTTTTTCAACAGGGTTGAACATTTTCCAGTATGCCACCTAATATTGCCCCCAAAAGTGTAAGTGAAATCCATATATGTTAAAGACAGGCAGTATAAATCCCTAGAACATACTACAGAATGTTGTTTTTCTTTCTATCTATATTTCTGTCTCTTGGAATCCCTGAGATCAGCTGTAAGTGCAGGTTCTTCATCCAAAATTCCCTGTCATTGGAGTTGGATAGGTCTGTGGGGTAGTTTGGGCTTTTCACTACTGTGAATGCATCCTCTTAGAACCAGACTGGTTCTTTGAACTGGTTCCAGTGGACCATGCAGCATAAAGAGTTGCTGTTCTGAAAGGTTACGTTGTTTTTATCTTCCACTATAAAGTAGATGCTTACAAAAAGTCACACTTTGAAGTCACACAATACTCAGCTTTCCTCCAATTATATTATGTAACGCTATTCTATTGATATAAGCATAAGGTTTATTTTACACAGAAAATACTTTCTGAGAGGTGACTGTGCAACACATCCAGCCTTGCTGGAACTAAACAGAAGTTTATCTCCACCTCATATTCTTGGCTCTCAAAAAAAAAATACTGAGATCTCTGATTTCAGGCATAAAGAACTTGTTTATTTTAAAATATTTAGTCTAAAAAATCAGAGGTACAGGGTAGGGTTTTTTTTTCAGAGGATTACTGGGAGAGTAATTGACCATTCCAAAAAGCTGGTACTCAGAAAATTCTGAGATTTAAAACCCTTTAAGTACATAGAGGAGACTATCGGGCTTTCTGCTGGAGAGCTTTCCAAAGGGGCTCTTTTTAGAGGTTTCTTAACCTCTTTTTAAAGAAGAATAGCTTCTGGTATCAGTTTTGGGGGGTTTTTGCATTGATGAAATGTTGAAATCTCTCAAGATATTCCTTCAGTGTGGTATTGAAAGAATATCACCCTTTTTGGTCTGCAAGGGCTTTGAGGTTCCAAGAGGTGAAATACAGGGCTGGACAGTGTTTCCTTCCTTTCAGTGATCTCAGCATGGTCAGAGTTGCACCTGTCCTGTTTTGTCCAACAAATGGCACCATGTGCAGCTAACAGCAACCAATGACCTCTCTCTATGTGGTCTCAGCCCACTACAGTGAAATTATCTTTGACGTTTGTAGCATAACATTTTATATCCCATTTGGTCAGATATCTGCATTCTCCTTCCTTCTCTGCTTTGTTTAAAAGTGTTTGTTCCTCGAAGATGAAGTACCTGACACCTCTCTCTGCCTGTCTCTGCAATGCTCCTAACATTCAAGTCACTCTAATAAAAAATTATTCTCTTTTCACTATACTTTTCTCTTACCTGTCTCTTTAAGCTGGGGTCCCCATGGGCCAAGGTGTAGTTGTGGTAGTAATGGGTGAATGGGAAAGCTGTGCTGTGAGTGGTTCTCCTGGAGAAAGAAGCTGCTCTCTGCTTCTGCACATGCTCTCACCCACCTTACAATTCTCTAAGTATGCAGTGAATTGCAATTGAGATATGTGTGTTTTGTCTTGCTCCTCTCTTTTCAGGTCCACATATTAGTGATGCTGAAAGCCAGGGCAGGTGGCTTCCATCCCCTGTCCCCCTGCAGTGTGACCAACTGCCCCTGGGGTGAGATTTGCTGAGTGACACAACTCTCCTTGATCCATGTGGGAATGATGGATGCAGCATTTATTGTGTTCTTTAATTAACTAGCAAAAGGTTAGTTCACTGATTAAGGTAGAGCGTTTGTTTTAAAAGTTTGCTTATTTATTAAAGCAGTGTTTATATTAGAGTACAGACTGATATCTCAGTTATTCCCCCTTCTTTAGATCTGCCCTGAATGGGAAGTGTTGTTGTCTGTCAAACCAGGTGGTAGCAAATAACAGCCCCCTCAAACTCAAGTATAAGTTTGAGGCTACAGAAGCTGATGCTGCAGTGGCTGTTCTGCTAATCCCCCTAACCAAGGTCTGTATGATACAGTGGAGTGTGTTTAGTTTGGTCATCAGTTCAGAGCTGGGTTACTGCTCAGTTAAGAGTATTGCTGAGTAGGCCACAGTTCTTCACAGTCTTGACAAATTCATTACTCAGTCTTTGGGATTTACCTATACAGAACCTGGGAAATTCACTTAGCTCTTCCCCATTAGGATAATGGAAGCATGTTAAACAATCCCTCTAAGTCAGCATCCATTGTAAGTCATAGTGATGCCTTTCCCGAAGTGACAAACTGGTTTGATAAGGTACAGTCATGTAGGAGCTGGAAGTACACAAGTGCAGTTATTAAAAATTAATGCTGTATCCTGTTTTCTTTGTGTATCTTGTCACTGACATGACTTCACAAGTTGCAAATCTATTAAACATTTCAAACACGGAACTGGAGCTCATTAAGCACAATGTTGACTGGTATATAGCAAACTGTTTCAAATTCAAGACTGTCAACATTTGTCTCCAGAGTTTTTTGTCTTCTAGGTTGTCACCAAGCAATCCAGCTGTCTGGGAATACAGCCTGTGCTTCCTGTGATCAGAGTGTGACTGTCCTTTGGGGTGAGGTAGTAGGTTGTATAGTTTTAGGGCTATGCCCTGCCTGTCAGATAACTATACAATCTACTGTCTTTCCTGAAGTGGCTGTGATGTCAGCGCTGGATGTCTCCGAAAGACAATGCAGATATTTTTCAACTGTACCATTCTCTGGCTCTGTCTACATGTTTGCTTCTTGTACACAAATGTCCTTGGATGTTTAGATTCTTTTATTTCCCAGTCAGGCTCAAAAGCCATTTCCTTCTGGCATTTTCAGAGAGCAGGTGGGGTGTGAGTGCCAGGACACAGAGGTACCACCCAGTCTGCAGTGGATTTGCTCACACACAGCTGCCAGGGACTGCCATGGGAGTGGCCACTTGGAAATAGCTGATTCTTTTCCCCCTTGTTTTCTGGAATTTGTGTTCATATTAAACATAAAATGGTACTTTTGATTCAGCAGCTGTTTAAATCCACTTGGTGTAGGCTGTTTGAGAAACTACAAAGGGATAAGCTGGACAAAGCCCTAAGAGGATGGCTTCCAGTCAGTCGTGTTCTGCTCTGGAACTGGTAAATTCCTGAACTCTAAGTAAAAGGTCTCTTCAGTTAGTTTTGGACGCTGATTTAACTCACTTTTTTTACATATTGCTGGTTTGAGAGGACAGTGTTTGCCACTGCAGTTCTCCTGTCTCTGGAGTCCCTCCACCAGTTCTGTCTGACTCCCAGGTAGAGCTGTGGGGAAGGGCTGAGACATCACATGTGGCCTTTCTAAGGCTAAGAAATGCATGGGCTGGAGAGCAATAAGGTAATTTACTTATAAATGGTGAAATGTTTCCTTCAGAAGATGCACGTGATGCTCTAACAGGATGAGGTAGTAGGTTGTGTGGTTTCAGGGTAGTGATTTTGCCCCAGTCAGGAGATAACTATACAACCTACTGCCTTCCCTGATAGGCAGCATAACATCAGTGTCTTAATTCACAGAGAAACAAGAGCTAAAGTACACTCCTGATATGCTTCTGAGACGAGCAAAGTAAGTCTAGATACAATTGTTGCTGTCCTGTCCCTAATAGCTCTAAATTTAGATTTTAAGTGTAGATTTTTGGTAACTGCCTGCAAAATAATTACCCTTTTTTAAGTCTTTATCATGAAAAATTGAATTAAAGAAGTTTTATTTATTTCAAAGTTTGCCTGCTCTCGATCTGTTTCATTTTTGGTTCATTTGAGTGGGATGAAGTTAGTGGGGGAAGTCATGCCAAAAATGCTGCGAAATTGCAATCAGGAAGTTTGTATTTCCTTGACATCTGAGTGCAGCAAATTTTACTGACAGTGCCCAGTTTTAGTTCTACCTTACCTCTCCCTCAGCAATCTTGCAGTGTTTTACAGATAGTACTAAGTTAAGTCACACAACATTCTTCAGCAGGTAAGGTTTACATAGCAAGGAAAAAGCTGTAACTATGAAAATCAAGAATGAGAATTTAAAAACCAAAACCAGACATCTATTTAGTCCCTCAGTTTCTCATAACAATCTCATTTAATGATGTTTAGAGCCCCCAAAAGAATTATCTGCTATCTAAAAAGCACAAATTGCATCTGAAAAACTATGGACAAAAAATGTTTGGTCATTAAAAATATTTTGAGAATATGAACTTTAGAGTCCTACAAAAAAAATCTGTGGAAGAAAGGGAATATAACAACAAGATGCTGAGTTTGTTTGTAGACATAGAAATAGTTTTCCCACGTGCAAAATACACCCAAAAATAGGAGTCCTGTAAACTTTAAGGTTACCTTGAGACCAGAGGTATCAGACTGGTTTTGTATAACCATTAGTATATATTTTGATTATGCAGTAGCCTGTTATTGTGGACTGGAGTCAAAATTGAAGGTAGTTGTAATCCTGTGCTTCTGTCTGCCATGCTACACAAAGGCAAACCTGCCTTCCCTGAGAAGCTTTCCTCTCATCTCTGTAGCTGGGAGAGCTGTGACGTGCACATTGAAAGCAAATGGAATAACTCATGGTACAGCAGCAGCAAAAGTGGCTATTTTATTGCCTCTCTGGTCCAAAAATACCGCGTGTTATCTGGAGTCAGGTGGTGTCTGAGGTCATTCAACACCTCAAAACAGGGCCTTTTGTTCAACCTTTACCAAAGGTTTGGAAGGTTTTTTTGACTCGGGTTCAGAGATGGATAAAGGCTGTTGGTACAGGGGAAAAAGTTGGTACATGTCTGAAAAACACACAGGAGAACAGGCAATACTGTAGCTCATTTTAATCTTCTCCATTGCTCTGGCTGTGTATCTCTTAATGCAACACTGCAGGTCCTGAGCTCTTTCTTTTAGCCCCAAGGCTGCAGTGTGAACATGAGACAAGCTGGGGTAGTGATTGCACTGCATGTAGCCTAAAGCATCCTGCTGCTCTCCAGGGTGCAGAACAAGCTGCATAGCAGTATCTTGCATTCTGTAAATACAGAGAGACTGTTCTCTCTGGGACAGTGGGGTTAACAGAGGGAAAATGCTGTCCACATTCTACAGCAGCCTGTTAGATCTCAATTCTGTAGTTTTCAAATCTTCTGGCTCTGCCTGGGTCAGCATTTTGCTCTTGGTAATGAGCTGTGAGTTTTCAGATTCTAGTCATTCTGGCAATCCCATTAAAATAAAGAGCCAAAAATATCCATAGTGTTCTCCTCTCTAGGATCAACTGTAAATGCAAAACCATGTGCCTGTACTTGGCAGGGTGTGAGCCTGCAGATAATCAGGCCTGTCCTTAGCAGTGGCTGTCATTACAGCTAATGATACTCCACCAGAAACTCAAAAGCACAACTCAGGGGCACTGAATATTTCCCAGAACTGCATACTGAAAATGTTTGTTTCCAAATGTAAGCAGCAGCTTGGCCTGCTGGATCACAAAGGAAGAACAGCTGGGTTTTTTTAAAACTCCAGTCAGCATTACCACTTCTTGAGGTGTCATGCTGTTTGTTGCACACATCAGGTGTGAAGAAAGAACTTAAGGCATGAGTACACACAACATCACATGAGAAATGTGTATCATGACATGTACTTTTATATAGTGTGTGTCTGCTTAAACATCTCTCTTCAATTTAATGTGCCAGCAAGTATTCACTGGTGAGCAGAAGCTTAATACATCTTGCTGGAACAAAGCCTGTACATTTGCCTATAACAGGCCAGGTAAAAATTGGTGGGTGTGGGATTCTCTGTGAGGCCAGGATTTCAGGTATTATCCCTCTGTGCCCTGGAGAAAGTGTATGGTGTTTTGAGAGAAGGCACAGCGAAGACATTAAGCAGCTCTCTGACGTTGAAGCCACCATTGAACTTTGGATCTCCACTGCATGGATGTGCGTTCTGCCTCTTCTACCTTTTCAAGGCTCTTAGAGTTTTGTTGCATTTTCAAACATGAGCAAACCTCCTTGTTCTTTGAAACCAGTTACCCAGTGTAAAAATTTTTACTTTATTTGGCAAAATACTAAAGCAAAACTAAACATTTACAGACAACCCCAATAACTACCCTAATGTCATGTGCTGCCAGCCCCACCTGTGAACATCCAGCCTTGCCCCCATGTGTGAGTGCCCTGGAGTGCAGTTGCTGGAGCTCTTCCCCCATGGCTGCAGCAGAGGCAAAACCATAGAACACAGGAGTGGTTCCTGGGTTCTCTGCTGAAAGGGTGAGTTGAAAGGGGTATTTATACCGGGGGAGGATCCAAAAGCCCAGTAAGACTGAACTGGTGTGCCAGTCCATGCTGGTACCGGTGTGACATGGCACACCCCATCTTGCTAAATAGGAGGGGCAGTTGTCGTTGCAGGGAGAGAGAGCTGGTGCTCATTGGGAAATTCAGAAAGCCCAGCCTTGGGCTCAGAAAGGGCTCCCACACGGGGCCTGGTCCCAGCATTGTGCTCTTACTGGGAGGTAGACAGTAGACTCACGGTGTCACAAAATATCCTGAGTTGGGAGGGACCCACAAGGATCATTGAGTCCAACCTCTGGCCCTGCACAGACACCCCAACAATCCCACCCTGTGCATCCCTGGGAGCGTTGTCCAAACACTCCTGAAGCTCTGGCAGCCTTGGGGCTGTGACCATTCCCTGGGGAGCCTGTTCAGTGCCCCACACCCTCTGGGGGAGGAACCTTTCCCTGATATCCAGCCTAAACCTCTCATGAGCCAGCTCCAGCCGTTCCTCGTGGCCTGTCCTTGGTCCCAGAGAGCAGAGATCAGAGTTGCCCTTCAGGAGGAAGCTGCAGACTGCAATGAGGTCCCCCCTAATCCCTTTTTCCCCAACTGAACTCCAAGTGCCCTCAGCCACTCCTCATATGGCCCTTCCAGGTCCTTCACCACCCTTGTGTCCCTCCTTTGGATGCTCTCTAAGAGCTTTAGGTCTTTCTTATTCTGGTGGCCAAAACTGCCCAGCCCTAAGAGCGGCACACTAATCTTGAATGACAGGAGCATTAACTAAACATTTTAAAGGTATATTGGCATTGCTCTGATCCATGTGACTCATGAATGGTTATCCATGGAGGCATCAACTTCCATTACAAAAACTGGGAGATGAGAACCTGGGAAGATGTCTGTGAGGATCTGGGATTCAGTGACATGCATGCTCAGATTTCACAAAAAAATCAGCACCAGTAATGCTTATCAAAGCAGGACAAAGGTATCAAAAAACCTAGCCAAATTATCCACTGGTTTTCAAAGAAATCTGTGTTCCTAAGTCACATGGACACTTTCAATTGTTCAATTGTACAGTTAAAAGTAATGAGCACCAGTCATGCTACTTTTGATGGTATAAATACTTGCTTGGTTGTGGGATACAGTTCTCACCTAGTCTCCAAAGCAAATCAAAACCCAGCAAGGAACCAGGTTAAGAGACAATTGCACATGAGTTCCCTGAGCTATCATGTTCATGTTCCAGAAGTTCTTGCTCTGGGTTTTCCCTGTCCAACTTGCTTATACAAATGTAAACAATAGTATTTTCATCCTCAAGTGGCCCAAGTGATATTTTATCAAGCAAACAAAGTGTGTTAAGGAGGTTTCTCAATCAGCTGAAAGTGAGCAGCAGTTTACACATTAATATCTGGTGTTAATTAACACTTGGAAGAGAGTGAGAAGCACTTGATGCACTTTGAAGTAACACTAATAAAAGTAGCACTCTTAGATGGTTCTTAATGTAAACATCTAAACTGCAAATAAAATTGTTCCTGATACAGTAAATTGGCATTTCCTTTTTGTGAAGGAACCCTTCCTTTACACAATAAGACAAGTTCTTTGAACATCTCACTTTTGATGATGAAAATGTCTCACTTGTGGTGAAATTATTAAAACACACTTCACAGCACTCAGGGATCTGGGAGGTTTCAGTCCAGTCTCGGACTTTATGGACCTTCCTGAGCAGATTATTCCCGTGTGGAAGCATACACTCTTCTCTCTAGCTTCAGCCTGGATTTGGTACTGTGTTTCTCACATCTGGTAAAAAAACTACCCCTGACAAATGATAGTGTAGCAGTGACTATTTGAAAATCAGATGGAGAATCCCACAGGTCCTATTTTTATTTAGGCTTGGCTTGCTGGCTCATTCCAGTGACCTCCGCTGAGGTTTGGCATAGGATACTCATGGTTGCAACATACTTTTTTCCTCCTTTTTATTCAACTTTTTCCTCCAAAGTTTCAACATGGCCACAATTTTGGTTGTATTTTCTTTTTCTCTCCTCTTTTTTGCTTTTTACCATGGGTAGAATAAAATGATTGATGACCTAGAATTCAATGATTTAACTTTTTTTCTTGCATCTTAGCAAAAATAAAGAGTCTGAGTTTGGAAGTTCAAATGGACAAATATGTTTTCATTTCATTCCCCTTTGTAATTATTCTTTTCCAAAAATTTAATAAGTTTTAACTGTAGCACAAAGAACCTTATAAAAATATTACATCCATCATATTATACTAACTGGCAGAAAAAAAAGAAAAAATTTATTCACAATTCTTTTTAAAAACTTGAGCAAAATTTATTATTAGGAAAATCTCCCTCGTAAAACTTCCACACTTGAAAGTTTTTTCCCACTAGAGCAAAGAAAAAGATTTTACTATCTAGAATATGGTAGCATAAACCCCAGCTCCAGCTCTTCCCAATTTTCCAGTGGAGGAGCTACATCCCCATTGGTTTGGGTGAGAGTGTGGGCACACACCCCAAACCAGCCATTGCTCATGTACACCACGATGTTGGTGCAGCTTTCCCTGCCCCAGAGCCCTGCCCGCAGCTGGGACACGACAGTGGCTTGGCCGCAGGTGAGCCCGGCCAGGTGTGGTGTTTGTTTTCTCCAGGTGATGCCAGGTGGAGGCAAAGCTGGACACGCACGATGTGAGCAGTGGCCGAGCCTTGCTCCTGCCTGCAGCGGGCGGCACATCCCACACGGCATTCCCACCACGGGCAGGGAGGTGCGCTCCTCCCCAAAGAGTATTTAAAGTCGTCTGATCACTGTTCAAGTCTGGAGACGTCAGAACCTTTTATTTTTGAGGCAGGTGTGCTCACCTCAGCCCAAGGGCAGATGGGCTCCAGTGGCAGGGGCCGCCTTCCCAGCCTTCCCCCCAGTTCTCCTGTCTAAGGCCTCTCCAAACTGATTTACGGCTCCCTCCGAGTGCCTGGGATGGATTCAGAGCGCCTTGTATTACACGGTGCCTTCCCTGTTATTCTTGCTGCACGGCACAGATTTATGACGGCTTTTAGGCCAGGCAGCACGTAAAGAAATATG